CTTTGTAATTTTTAGATATTAACTATTTTAAAATAGTGTTTATCTTAATGTCAGGTAAATATTAGATGATTACTTTATGTTATTTAATATAAAATTTTTCAAATACTACATAGCCATATACATTTATGAAAGTAAAATGATTACTGATTTCTTTAAACATTTTTCAATCATACTCAAAAGTACAATCAACTATTACACTTAATATAACATATATATATATTAATAAATGGTATAAAAACTAATGAAAAATGTTAATATTCTAAAATATATCATTGAAAATTATTCCAAAATAATTAATTTTACATTGCAATTAATAATTACATACTTGTAAAAAAAGAGGAAAAGAGATAAAAAAAACAAGATAATAAGATGATGTTTACGCATAGATTCATTATATTTATTTTATTTTTCTACTTTTAATAACAAAAATATATATATTATTGTGAGAAATAAAATTAAAGCCAATTGTGACTTACTCTTATCATCGAACTTGTCTAATATACAAATTAATGACAACTAACGAGAGTTATCAATATTAGAGATAATCATCTTAGTCTGTTTGCGGGATCTTATTAATTATGCTCACAATATTGTAAATACTTAAGATCCTAAATACTTAGGGCGCCCTATATAGAGATAGCGTGATAGAAAACTAAAAAACGATTCGTATTTATTTATTACAGAATAAATTGTGTTTTTCTTATAATGGTAATATAAACGTTTCTATAATCAGTAATAATTTTAATTAATTAACAAGGGCATTATATATATAGTTGACAGTGAAAGAGTAGGAATCGTTAACATTAAAGATGTTTTACTACATGTATCGCGTGGCACACTTTTCAAAAAATATTACTATATACCTATAACATAGAAAAAATTAGTATGTAATCTTATTCTATATAAAAATAAATTAAAATAATTTTAACTTATATTAAGTATATAAATGTATAGGAGAAAGAGAGAGAGAGAGAGAAAATGTTCTTTTCAAAATTTTTAGAATTTTACTCTTATTGTTAAAGATATGCTTTATAGAATACCAATTATTTACTTATTTTTTAATTCTCTTATGTAAATTCCAATATTACTATTATTTTAATACTATTATGAAAAGAAGCAATCTAAAGTATAATTTAATATTGTTTTTTCATAATTATATTGAAAATCGAAGAATGTTAAAATTGTTCCTTTAAAATGATTACAAAAAAAGACTTCTATACGTGACTTCTAATTTATGAATAAGGCCATTACAATGAAAAACATTATTTATCTTTTCTTTCTCATTCTCAAAATGAATAATAATATAGAGTAACTATGATAGATATTATACAGTAAACTCCCTTATAATGCGAGATATGATACATAAGATACATTTGTGAAAAGCACATATAATGAATTAAAACGAGATGATTACTTAATTTATTGTGTATTACTCATTAATTATTTATTAATATTTATTAGTTATATAATTAATTGATTATTTATAGATAGTTAATCTGTTATATAACTAATAAATTAATTATAAATAATTTTCTTATTTATTGATACTTTAATTAACCTTTTTATATAGCATGAAAATTACGTTATAGAAAGGCCCTTTGTAATATCTTTAATTTATTATAAAAATTCGCATTATATGGTAATTTACTGTATAGTACATATGTTTATCTTTTAAAATATAATATTGATCAACATATATGTACCACAAAATATCTCTTACATGCAATTAAATCGTCAGATGTAAATTACTTAATGTAAACTATATTGTACTAAGTACGGATAGAAAAAGAAAGCACGAAAAATATTTTTAAAATTTGACGAATACTTATTTAGTTTACAAAATAATATCCTATAAATGAGATAATTTGTATGCGAGTTAATTTGGAATATAAATATATAATAAAACAAAAAATATAACAAATTACTCTAGCAGGTACACCTATGTACATCAATTATAGATGTTATCAATACTAAATTTTTAATAAAGTCGCTCACAAGAAGTAATTTTGTAAAAAAAATAAAAGTTCGACATTTAACATTTCATTTAAATATCTAACAGTACTTTTGCATAAAATAATAATGAAAACGTAATAATACAAGACATACATTTTTTATATTAGGATAAAAGACAATAAACGTAGCCACTTTATTAAAATATTATGTAATAGAATTAATATATAATCAGACGCATGCTGTTTTAAAAACAGATATTAAAAAGATTATATGAAATCCCAAGAGAACATTAAATCATAACAATAAATGAAAACATTTAGATTAGATATTTAACAAAATATTACAAATCTTTTTGCGAAGCAGTTATTAATATATTTCCATTATTGTTAACTTATTTAACTTTAATAGACAGGGGACTTTTTGCGCATTGCTACAATTATTCGTATAAGATAATAGATAAATTTTTTGTTGCATGACGTAGACATTATTAGGGACGTGCCGCTATCATATATAATATTTTTATAAAAACGTAATATATATATATAATGATATATATATATATATATATCATTGGAATACGGGCTATAAAATCAGTTAATTTCGTTATAATATAAAGCCCGCTAAATATAACAGTTCTTCATTGTTTATTCACTAGCTTATAATTTCTTTGAAAGCCACGTCCAACCACTAATTTATTACTCACAAATAGTGCCAAAGTCTTTTTGTTTCTTATTTACTAATCTGTTTCACTTCATTCACACATTCTCACACATTTATATATATATATATATATACATATGTATATATATATATATGAACGTACGCATTTATATGAATAGTCTATCATTATCAGTTGTAGAGAATAACACTATACAATTTGAATAATTGAAATAAATTCTTAAAGATTCGCAGAGCCATAATATAAGAGGTAGGCGGCAATGTATAACTGCAATTTTAAAATTAGTATGTAGTTGATAGTCTAGTATACCTATCAGATTTTCATTTGCTCTATACTTGATAATGTATATTGATGTTTTATTCTCCATAAATAGTAGAAACAATATAATTTAAAAAAAAAGAGAACAAATATTTTTCATGGATAAAAATAATCACAACAGTAGTTTATTATATATATATATAGTTTATAATAGATTATAATAAGTTACATTAACAATTCTTTTTGCATATTTAAACATAACAAAACATCAAATTATAAAACTATATACATTATACGAAGATTCTAAAATATTGAATACTTTCATTTTTAATAAATTTTTGTATATTATAGAAATTATCACAGGAAACAAAAAATTGATCGTTTCTCAAAAAAAAGAAATTAATTACAACGTTTAAATTTTGATATCTTATGGAGAATAATATGATTCAACATTGAGCAAGGATTAGAGCAAAACTTGACTAAAGTATTTTATACTGGAGATTTATCATAATTCCAATTAAACAAACTCTAGCAATTTTTACTTATAATGATACATATTATTAATCTTGGCTCTCTTGATGCAACAAAAATTATTTTTCTATTTCAGAATAAACACATTGGGTTTCATAATTTCTATACAATATTAATATAAATTAAACACAAAATACGTATTTAAAATACCTTAATCCTTTCAATGCTATGGACTTTATATTATTTCGAACCCGTATAATAATTTGTTGAAATATAAATGTACCAGAGACTAGTATATACTAATACGTATACGTTTTGTAATTATTTATGTACCTAATTGTAGTTTTAATGTAGAAGTAAATTCGGCCACGTTATCAACAAATTTTAAACAAATATTTTCCAGTACAAGAATAGTGTGAAATAATATAGTGTACGATACCGACAGAGCCACACACATAAAACGTAAAAAAGTATTCAGTCCAGTGTGTTTTATCACAGTAAGTGGACAGCGCATGGCATGTGCGTGTCATTAAAAATTTCAGCGTTGAAAAGATTAAGTATTCTCTGACGTACGATTCAATTAGAATATATTTATAATCAATTATTAACTGCAGTAGAATTAGTTACAACGTGAAAAAGAAATGATTCCACAGGTAATAGGATATTTAATAAGTACGTTCTATTGCTATAAATCTAAAACTTTGTATGACCAACTCTATTTGTAGTACTTATTTAAATTACCAAGCTTATAATCACGTATTGATCTTATGTGATTATCATTATTTGTAACACACGTACAAAAGGTGAAATGAAGCTGGGATATTTTTCAATATAATCACTCAAACAATTTTGAATACTATTGATTCATACCGCTGCTGGAACCACTAGAACATGACAAATGAATGAATAGTACTAGTAGTAGCAACAACGGCAATGATAACAGTAGTATCAAAGCAGTGCTACAACAGTCAACTAGCACACTTAGCACAACTACAATGCTACTTCGTAATCAGACCAATCAGATTCATCCGAGTCTGAAAAAATTGGTACAAGATCTTCAAAATCTATATACATCAAGTTTTCATCTCTGCCTTCAAGGAAGTCCCATAAGATCAATTGCTATGAGAAATAAATTCAATTTTACAATTAGAAGCTTACGTAATAATTTAACATTATTAATTCAATAATTAATATAATACATAACAAACTATACTTACTTGTATAATATCAGCATCGGTATCAGGATTACGACGTTGACGAATAGGTGGACCAACATCTGTTTTAGTACCATCTGGTAAAGCGTGTAGATAAAAGCATTTATTACCAAATGGACATTTCCCACGACCTTTATTGAAATATTTGCAATCCTTAGTACTGCAATAAGCAAATTTTATTATATATTTGGAAAGAAGAAAATAATATAAAATATTTGTTTTTATTTCTTTTACCTTAATGCATCTTTATAATCCATTATCAATTTTTCTTTTTCTTCTTTTGTATCAACCCAGTACATACTCGGGCATACAAAATCAGAAGTGACACGGCATTCTGGACAAGCTCTTATTATTTTGTTATCAAATTGTTTAGCTTGTCTCCATTTTCTAATGCAAGTTAAACAAAAACAATGATTACAGTTTGGCAAAATACCAAACCTTTGTTCACGTGATGACTTTTCCATTATTGTTTCAAAACAGACGCCGCAAGACTTTTCTCTGCTACGTTGAATAGCAAATGATAATTCCATGTCAACTTCATGTTGTTTAACACATGCCTATACAAAAATTAATATTCCATATTGAAATATTTAGTTATAATTCAGTTAGATATTACTTTACATGCTAGCTTGTTATTACTAAATATACTGTAATATGTTAATAGGTATATTTATAAGATCTGATATCAAATAGTATATTATCCAGGCAAATATTATTCAAGAAATTAACAAATACTAATAAAAGAGTAAATGACTTACAACTTATAAATATACACTCACATTTGTATGCTTTTTCCGAAGTTCTTCATTATATGGATGAAGAGCTGCACGACCACACAATTCACAAATATTTCCGTGCAAATATGTGCAATTGGGTTTTTTACAAATCCCTGTAGCTTCGGCATATGGACAAAGAGGTTGCAACGAAGGATCAAAAGCTTGACCCAATGGACTTACAGCTTGAGCATATGTAAGAGGTTTGGATGTACCAGTTGATGTTCCTGAAGTATTAAACATTTCGTCGTTGGATGTAGAAGAACCAGCAACTGATGAAATAGTCGATGGTATAAATTCAGGAGCTTTAACCCATTCTTCAGCCACATGAATACTTCCCGTACTGCAAACATAAATAATTCTGATATCATTATTATTTTCTAATGGAAAGAAACTGTTTCAACAAAATGTATTTTCTAAATATACTTAAAGATCTTTGCTATATTAACACATTAAACGTCAGGTCAGTCACTAGTGATTGACCGCATACTTTATGTTCAAGTTGCGTCAGTCACCACTGACTGATATTCCTGTGTATATCTCTGGCTAACAGATTATCATGGTCTGAACAGAAAGTTAAACAAAATATGTTTAGTGCTTTACGTGTTAAAAATTTTTGATTCTAAAGTTTTAATTTCTTTTAATAGTTTTCAATTATTATCAATCAGATATCAAGATTTGTGCTTTATTATCTGAAAGATCAAAGAGGAGAATACTTTTTAAATATAATTGTTACATAATACAGTATATGTGTTACATACGTATTTTTTAGCTCCATTGAAGTTGTAGTAGTAACAGTACGTTGCCTTAACGAAGAACTTTCTCGTAAATTGTTTTGTATACAAGCGTTATCGGTAGGTTCAGAGTCATGAAGAAAATGGCACTGACTACCATACTTGCACGTGCCATATTTAAAAAAGCGACAAGTAGTATTGGATGGAATACTGGCCAATATTTCTGCTTCAAGTGTTCCTGGTTCATGACGTGTAGATTGAACATGACGATATCGGCAGTTATTTCCTCCACGACACAAGCCATTCTTAAAAAACCTAAATGTAACATAGATACAAGAGATTAATATAAATATACATGTTAAGATTAATTCTATATAAGTATGATATTGAAGTAATTAAAATTTGATACTTTGATACTCTATAATTTATTTTGTAAGTTTGATTAACTATTTAACTAATGTCTAAACATATAGATATTTTTCTAACTAATAAAAAAAAAAATATCTATTAACATAAGTTAAAGGACATTTCGTAATTGAAATGAACTGCTATCTTAATTTAATAATTTAACAGATTTAAATTTCACGGTTGTAAACAGTTTAAGGAATTGTGTCAATATTTACATTAACTTGTTTACATATTACATATATTTAATATTTCTTAAATAGCACAATTAATTGAAAAATGTTAAAATAGTTTATAATAATTTGATAAAATTATCGATAAGAGTCAATATAATTTTTGAAAATATAAGTTCACATCATCTTACCGGCAAACAATACTATTATGTGTCCAATTGTCGGCCATTTTCTCAAGCTTCCACTGTAACAATGATTAACGACGCGTTCTCCGAGAGTCACGTGTAAATATCAGTAAATATTTCGATACGAATAAATTCACATATGATGCAGAACAACCGTCTTTATGGGATATTGAAAATTGTTCTGAAAATTTCAAATCAAACGTACAACCGTTCGATCACGCAGTAGCCCTTTTCTTGTCTCCTCCCAAAACCTTTAAGACCCTTCACGAACCCACACTTTATATCTTGCCAAGGGCTTATACTCTGCCCTCTGCATATATCAGTCTATACTGTATCGGAATTTCCTATCTTAATGTAATATTCTGATAGTTAAACAGTTAATATGTACATAACACATATGCATTTAAGATACATTACACATATGCAAGTATTTAACAGAAGTGAATGCACAATTACTCTTTATCGCGCATGCGTTAAAGCTTTCTGAGCCTTATCATTCGTATGGTATATATATACCATATATATATGTATGGTACATGTATATATATATATACAAGCTTCTGTTTTCTTTTTACTCTTCCTGAACATCGATAATAAAAAAAAAATGTTAGATTGAAAATTAAAATTATATTATTTAATATATTCTTATATATTAATAATAATAATTTAATAGTAACAATTTAACAAAAAAGAAAAATTTCTTAGTAAATTTTTTTGATAAAATATAGTGAATTTAAATTATTTGCGCTTAATGACCACATCGTTCAATTGGTTTAAAATTTAAACTATATGTTATTTATATAAAGAATTGTTTTTAGAAAAACAGAAGTTTTAATTTAGTAATTAATAATCATCAGTATAATTTCCGATTAAACTATTATTCAAAATTTATAAAATAATTCTAGTTTCTTGGATAAATCACATTACGATTGATTTGAATTTTATAGAAACGAAATAATTAGTATTTTTGTGTTATTGTTGATAAAAATTTAAACTTTATATACATGCTTGTATAATATTAATATGATAAATATCTTTTTCTATAATTGGATTCTTACCAACTGCTGCTATTTAGGAATACCGGTTAAAGATGATATATGAAACGGTTGGTAGTTGCATGTATACATAGTTTGCCGCCACGATTGTTGCCCTAGCTATACATTTATATATTTAAGTTATTTATGCAAATCCAATTCGAAAGAGATAGAATGTGTGTTTCTTGTGAATAATAAAAGGTGATTCTTTTTTAATGTAATTATTTGATATTCTTACCGTTTGAAGTGTATTTTCTTTTTTCAATATGAAATTCGCGAAGTGTGAATAAAGTTCTGAAAAAGAGAAAAAAAAATTATAATTAAAAAAAGAAATATTTATCATTAATTTTTATTTATTTAATAATAAAATAATGTATGAAAAATTATTCTACGTTATTGTGAAAAATATTTATATATTTAAAAATAACATTGAAAGTTCCTAAATTATATTCTAGAAGATTGTAAGTATTGAATACAATATGGCGTTCAAGTTATCTTTATCATCCTAACCTTAATTGATTATGCCGAACAAAACAACACGATAGCGAATAAAGCAATATTTAATTAATTATATAAATATAAATAAAGCCACGTGTTGTTAAATGTAAATAATACAATACTTTCAATTTTCTTACGAAAAAGTGTCATATTTTCATTTAATTAATATATCTTTTTTATGTTTCACAGCACTTGTTTTTCATCATCATTCCTTATTGCTTTGTCTGTTACTTAAGAGACGAAATGAATAAATAGCATACAAGCATAAAGTGTGTAATATATGATATTAATTAATATCTGATTATTAATTTATTATTTTAATGCAACATAACGATAATGACTGAAAATGGTATAATACATATGCATGAGGATATTAATATTATCTAAATAAGATAAGAGGTATTTGTACAACAATAATAACTATATCTAATATAATGCAAGATGGATATTAATTACAGCAATATATAAATTTTTACTGTAAGTAAAATATAAATCTTTTTATGTACAAATAAATCGTAATTCCAGTCAATTTGATATATTTTCAAACTTTAATTTGTTTCTCATTATAGATATATAAAAAGACAATTTGATGATTATTTGTAATAATGGATTTAAATATTGACATGACATCAACTGAAACATCTAATGTATTATCTTCAGTACAAAATGATATTTGTATAAAGATTAATAATAAAAATGAAAATTCTACAGAAAAATCGATGTGTGAAACAATAGAAGCTAATGAAGAAAATGTTAGTGAAAGTACTCAATCGGATAAAATTATTAGTGATACGGATACTATTATTGATACAACAAAATCAAATGTCGAAAACGCAAATATGAAAGAAACTACAAGTGATTCAAACATATGTATAGATAAAATTTCTAAAGAACGTAATATAAAAACACAGGAATCTACTTCAGGAATTACTGATAAACATATGGATCAGTCTCTTATAAATAAAGAAACTACCAGTTTAGCAATTCCTGATATCAATGTCTTAAGCGAAATTTCAAATGAACAATTAGAAACTAATAATGTAAAAAGTGAACAAGCTGTTAATGATCTAGAGGAAACAACATCACAAAATACTAATCTAAAAACCATTGAAGATCGATATTTAGAAGAAAATGTAAACATAGCAGATGTAACTGATATAATAGAGCAAAAATCTGCAATAAGTATGAATAGTACAGAATTAACTTCAAATAATACAGATACAAAAAATAAAAACTTAAATGTTGCACAAGAAGATATTGATGTATCAAACATAGATCATGGAACTTCTGACAAAAATGTATCTGTACCAGAAAACACTGAGTTTGTACAATTCTCACAAGATAAACATGGCGATTCGCAAATTGAAAATCAATCTATAGACGCTGAAGATCCTTTTGCTGGGGACAATTTGACTTCTGAAAATGTTGAATCAATGGATGTAGATAGTCCTATGGAAACAAATGTTGATTTTTCAAAGCTATGCGAACAAGGTGATATTCTGCAAAATATTGATTTTAATACAAAATTAAATAATAGTAACAAAGTGAATTCATTACAAGAGGATGAAAGAGATAAGATTTCTCTAGATAATGTACATCATTCAACTATTTCAAAAAAATGTTTTGAATCTATGCCAGATAAGTCAGATTCATCCGTAACAATCAATGCAGAGAATAAAAATAATCTATCGGAGATGGACATATTGTTAACAGATACTGCAGAATCTATTAATGAATGTAATAAACACGTAAAGAAGGATGCAGAAGGTGTAACACCGGTAGAAACAGAAGAAGAACAATCTAATATATTGCCTGGACAAGATGATGAATTGTGTATTATTCCAGACAGTATGAAAATTATAGTACCGGAAAAAGTAACGGAAAAGAAAAATAACGATATAAATAAATCAACATTGGATGAAGTTGTTATTCAAGAAGAGGGACAAAAATTAGTTGATGAAAATGTTGGAAGTACTGAAGTAAATAATGAAGAAAGAACTACGGTAGAAAATAATACTAACAAAGAGCAGCTACAAAGTATGCAAGAAGAGCATGTATATGTGGAACAAGATGTGCCAGTAACTACTGATGTTATAAATCTTGATGATGAATCTAAAAACTCTGAAATAGAAGAAATCTTATCGAAAGATAAATGCAAACAGTGCAATGAAGAAAAATCATGCAAATTTAAAGTAAAGATTGGAACTGATACTTTCAATGTATGCTCTAAAACATGCAAAACATTATTTAAAGCTGCTAATAATAAAGCAACTGACATACCAAGTGATACAGTTAATTCAAAAAGAGATAAACGTTGTGCAAATTGCTTATTAATTATTGAATCGAATGATGAAAGAAATCTTTCATGGGAAACAATGGAATTTTGTAATGAAGAGTGCTTAGGAAAATTTCAAAACAAATACGGAAGCTATTGTAGAAATTGCAATGGTTCTGTTCAAGCAGTAAGTTTAGGAAAATATTGTGTACGTTTTGGTTATGATGTGAGGCAATTCTGTTGCTCTACTTGTTTAGAAGAGTTTAAAAAAGGTCTGAAAGTATGTAGTTACTGTCAAAAAGATATAAGTTCAGGTGTAGAAGGTTTTTTAGCTCCTGTCGGTGACAAAGGACAATTTAAGGATTTTTGTACTCAAAACTGCATGGAAAAATATTCAAAAATGAGCTCTACTGAGCTTCCTAATATAGAAAAGAAATCTTGTAGTGTTTGCCAAGAGGTAAGCACTTACATTTGGAAGTTTATATGAAACTATAATATAAGTAATATTTATCATATTGTGCATAATAATATAGCAGAATATAATTTTATTATTTTTATTATAGGAAAAACTGGTACATTGTGAAGTTCAATTAGATAGAGCTGATCCAGTAGCTATATGTAGTGAACCATGCTTTGCAGCATTTAAGTTTGTAAACAAAGTTGATCCAGACCAATGCTCTACTTGCAAACAATTTTTCGAATTAGAAAATAAGAAAAGTTTTGTTATCTTTTATGAAAATGAAGCCCATACATTTTGTAACAAGACATGTTTAAATATATTTATAATTACTAATAGAAAAATAGTACCTTGTAATTGGTGTAAAGTAAAAAAATATAATTTTGATATGATCAAAAAAGAATTAAAATGTGGGCAACTTATGATGATGTGTAGCTTAAATTGTTTAACATTATACCAGGTATGATATATTATTTTATCTTAATTTCTACTGTACATGTTATTTAAAATTTGTTTTAATGGTTAATTTTACAGGTATCTATTAATGCTGTATCAGCAAAACGTATAAATTGTGACTTTTGCAAAGAATTTTCTCAAGCACAATATCATTTAACGATGTCAGATGCAACAATACGTAATTTCTGTTCATACAATTGTGTTATGAATTTCCAATCTCAATATACAAAATCTCCGATAACAATTCCATCAAGCGATGATCCTGTTCCGACAGGAATGCCAAAACGAACAATGCCACAAAGGACTACAAATCAGAGTACATCAAAAGTAAATGAAATACAAAATAAAAAAAATATGCCAGTTATATCTTCGGTAACAAGTTTAGCGACAATAGGAAATGGACAAACTAATCCGTCTGCTACACAAAATAACGTAAATGCAACAGTTCAAAATCAAGTGCCACAAATCATTTATAAGCAACAGATTATCACAAGACCGCTTAGTCCAACAAATATTCATAATAAAATTACCCAATGCAAACCCTTAATGCATACAAAGGGTGTTTCTGTACGTCCACATCCTTGCAATAAGTCGACGCAAACAGAAGAAACTCCACAAATGGTTATTCCGATACCAGTACCAATCTATGTTCCATATCCTGTACATATGTTTAGTATGCCTTTTCCGATACCATTACCTTTTCCATTACCTATACCTGTTCCAGTTTTTATACCTACAACAAGAAAT